TTAACCATCTCGATGTGTTAAAAATGAGGTTTTTGATGATAAATCTCAATAAAGTGCTAGATCTAATGTTTTATCTTGTTGTTTATGATAGAGATGTGATCAGGATCATTAGGGTGATAATTATTTTCATTTTTAACTTGTTAATATGGTTTAATTCATGTGCTAACCCTATTTGTCGCTAAATTGAGATTTCATGACGATTAATCTATGCTTAATCCTAGGTTGGTGATACCTAAGAGATATGAATGAATTTAAATCATTTTATATCTGTTCTAGGTGTTGTTGCAAGCATGCTTATGTTGATCATACTAAGAAATCATGTTTTAAATCGAGGAATTTGATTAATAGGGATGATAACTCTAATTAGAACAAATTAAAAGTATGGTTTTACGTTCATGATGTTTTCGGATGAGTATCACATGTTTCATCCATGTCAAACCTCTTGATAAGCACATGATGAATGAAAAGACTTGTTTGTGCATGTTAGAATGTATGGAATTGCAGGGTAGTCGACTACAAGGCTTAGTAGTCGACTACTCATGTCCAGTATTGAATTACAGAAACTGTTTGGTTACAGAGTAGTAGACTAATGCGCTTAATAGTCGACTACTGATACTGATATAAGTTTTTACAGAGTCTGGATGGACTCAAGGTAGTCAACTACTAAGCATAATAGTTGACTACTAAGGCTAATTTCCTGAATATCATGTTGCTTTTGATTCGAGATGTGATCGCAAGGTTTGGGCCGCATGATAGTACATGTATAGACATGATTATTCATGGATAGTATCATAGTACACGTGTTAGTACCTTAAAGAGGGGATTCCGACAAGTATTATTCGAATACACTTTTTCCCTTGACATTGTATCCACACAAATGTGCGCTGAGGTTTGTTAGCCTATGTTATCTTATCCGCACGAGTGTGCGTTGAGGTTTGTGAACCTATGTTATTGTATCTGCACGAGTGTGCGCTGAGGTTTGTGAACCTATGTTATCGTATCCGCACGAGTGTGCGCTGAGGTCGGTAGACCTTTATTATCGTATCCGCACGAGTGTGCACTAAGGTCGGTGAACCTATGCTGTTGTTCCCGCTTTAAGGTGCGCAGAGGTTGATGAACCTATGTCTTTGTTTCCGTATGATTATGCGCAAAGGTTGATATGACTATTTGTTATTTTGCATGAGGCGCGATTAGTTGAGAATTTTAGAAAAGTGATGACTTTTATAACTTGATAGTCGAGTATTAGACAGACGCCAAATGAGACATGACTCATTGTTGAGATAATTGATGACCAAAATATTATGTTATGCGAGTGCATGAGATACATATACTAATGTTGGTTATGAGGCTTTTGTTGGTCTTCTTGTTTTGATGATGATTTAACAAACAATTTACGACTAATATTGGTCTTAGTATTTTGTTTTGTGTTGTTTAGTATATACAGGAAAATGAGCTACATTGATATTGAAGCCTATGCAAATCAAGTCAACCAATCTAGTTCAAGCTTCATATGATTCATTCTTGGTATACTTGGTATAGGTTTATATGTAATGTGTGCAAATTCTTCAAGCTCAAATTTACACACACACTTATTTGTGATATTTTTCAAATCATTGGTGTTTTTATGCAAAATATGTTTTAATATGCTTTGGACTATACAAACATTATTAACATCTGTCATTAAGTACATAAAAGCATTACACAAGTTTGCAGAACTTGATTTGAGCTAAATGTCGAAATTAATATATTTATAAACACATGTATTTTAATGTTTTTAAATATTTCTGAGATATCACAAATGGTAAGAGCAAATTAAAAAATGCTCGTTCCAACATGTTTATATTCATGTTTATAAACTTTTTTAAACTTTTTATATTTTTTAAAATTTATTTGCTATTTTTAAAAGGACTTTAAATTTTGCTTTTAAAAATTAATACAGGTTGAAAACTGGTTATCAGTCGACTGATAAAATTGCCTGCAATTGCTAAAAGTCTCCGTTTTAATTCTGGTCGACTGACTAGTTGACTGATGAGGTCATCAGTCGACTGATCGTATTATCAGTCGACCGAAGAGCTGTCAATTGCCTATAACGGTCAGTTCATCAGTCGACTGATGAGAGCCGTCAATCGACCGATAAGCCCTAACGGCTATTTTTTCAGTTTTTGTTATTTTGTCTTTTTTGCTGGATTTTCTTAGGTTTTGTGCCTTGGTTTTTCATCCTATATATACCCCCTATTGTTTCACTTTTGATATGATCTAACAGGGTTTTTAACAAGAGTTTAAGAGCTTAAAAGTTTATTTCTTCTCAAGTTTGAGTTTGGTGTTTGTTTACAAAAGAGGAAGCTTGCATTGTCAATTTGAGGAATTCATCCTCAATATTCTTCATCCTCTTAATGTGTTTATAGAGAAGTTTTTCTAACTCTTTTATCTAGAAATTTATTATCGATTTTCATATTCTTATTATTACTAGTTTATTATTTGAGTTAGATTTTATTTATACTCATTTTATCACACACACCCCTATTTGAGCTTTTAGTATTTCATACATCATATATTGGGTTGTGAGATTGTGATATTGTGAGAGTGAGCTTATATTGTGTTCTCATCTATTATAGAGAACAAAATCTTGTATTTGAGCCTTATTGTGAGTTACACGTTATATTACAATTGTATACCGAGAGAAGTGTGTGGTGAGAGACGGAGTCAGTTCCAAGATGAGTGGGGTCGGTAGTAAAGCCTAATGAGAGGTTGTAATTCTAAACAATTGAGGAAGGTGACACGGGCCAGGCCAACACTTAGAGGGTGTAGAGTGTGATTGCAAGTGTGTAAGTTGTAAAATTTTCGGTGAACTAGAAAACCGAGTTATGAGGTATAAACGTTATTCGGGTGAGTGTAGAAAACCCGGCTGTGATACTGGAGATCTCCTCGAGGCGAGGAGCGGAGACGTATGTCAAGTGGTTGACTGAACTCTGTGAACATATCATGTGTTTGAGTTTGCTTTGGTGTTCTTTTATTTGTGCTCATATCTTATATCATCATTCTTGCACTGTTTATTTATCCAACTATATTGTTTACTCTTGTGTTTATGTCCTTGCATATATCTCATAGTGTATCTCATTGCTAGGATATTGCCATTTGTTTATATTGCTCGTTATTGCTCATAACACATTATATATCTATCTTGCAAGAATAATTTGTTAATAAGTTTTAATCGGCATTAATATCGAATAAGATTAACATAAACCCTATTCACCCCCCCCTCTAGGGTGTTTTCAACTTTACTTTCCAGTATTTCTTGCTTTCAGTTCTAGTTTGAGATTAATATTTAGTTATCTACTATTTGAGACATATGGTATATACATGAGGGTTTTCTTGTTTGGATTACTTCGCTCGACGTACTACGTCTTATGTTGTAGATTTTTAAGTATTAATTCTATTAGATATGGGGAAAATGAATTAGGTAGACTATACTTGATAGATAGAGCCTCCACTATATGTAGTAACCCTTCTCCTGAGGGTGGATGGGGGTGATCTTGCTTTAGCGTTCTGACACTTTTGTTATTGTTTTTTATTTTATTTTCCTTTCAGGCGATTCAGAGCATCGAGGAGCTGCAGGGTGACGGAGTTATTGCATAGTCGCGGTCACATGAGTTACTAGTAGAGACTCTATAGTAGAGTTTATTTCTATTCAAACATTAGAGTTTTAGTATCACATTTTATAAATGCTACGAGCCTTATTTACGTTTTCAGTTGATTCATGTTGAGACGTATTTATTTATTTCAGATATCAGATGTATTACAGGTTGTTCATTGAGACATGATTTATTTATGAGATACTCCTTTCTATATCATGTCTGTTGCAGTTACTTTCCTTTTTTTGCCTGTTTTGTACTTGCACATTGTTTTGATTCCACTAGAGGATATTGCTGTGATTGGTGAAACTTGTTATTGCACAGTGTGTGGTGCATGACATGTTTGACATCTTTGGGTTCACATTGGACTGCAGCCATGTGTGAAACTAGGGGCGTCAGATTAGCACACCAGTATCTGGTGGCTCACATCCGTCGAATACTCTCTCTATCCAAATGTCAGATGACACACGAATAAAATGCCTTGAAAAAGGACAATCAATTAAAACTTTCAATGCAGGAGATGATTTTAAAAAAATTCACAGCTAATGTTTTTTAGAGACGACCATCAAGAAAGTGACTAGTCCTTTTCTGCTCAAGTTGCTACGGGGTCGACTACGAGTGACAACAAGTGAAGTTGTCGAGTCAATTAATCCAGTATTCTAAACCAAGTCACGAATGATGTGTATCTAACCAAGTCGCGGATGTATCTAACCAAGTCACGAATAGTGTGTATATTATAGCATTTGTGTAATCTTCTCTTTGAAAGATGATTTAGGCTAGATTTCAAATTCTAAAATTTATAATTATAATTCTCCAATTTGAGTTTGAAACAAACAAAATACAAATTATAGAATTATATATCCTAAAATATTGATGAAACAAATAACATTTTAGAAATTCTAACCCATGTTAAAAAAACGTATGGATTTCAAACCCCACGGTGAAATCCATATCTTAACATTGTAGTATTTGAAACAAGGGTGACACTAGGGGCACACCCCCAATCACATCCCAAACCACACCCCCTCTCTCATATGCTACAGTACACCGGGCCCCACATGAGATTTTAAAATTTTAAAATCTTATGTGGGGCCCTGTACACTGTAGCATATGAGAGAGGGGGTGTGGTTTGGGATGTGGTTGGGGGTGTGCCCCTATCATTTTCCTTGAAACAAACACCCCCTAATCATCATTTAGGGGAAAAAACATGGGCCACCTGTCCGCCTCACATCAAATGGGCCAACAAAAAGGCCCTCTCTCCTACCAATGCGAGGGAGCCGAAGCATCAACATCGAAAATATCTCCCCCCACCCCCAAAAACGAGCGCGATCCCGCGCGCGCTCAAGAGATCGAACGGCACCCCCGTGAATGGCGTGGTAAAGGCGCTGGCCTACGGAGTGCGGCGGCGTGGCGGTGGCGGGGCTGGCGGTGCTTCGGTGGCGCTGCAGGAGAAGATCCGGCCTCCCTCGATCCTACTCCGTCAACCCATCGAGGTTCAATTTGGACTACGAGGATGTTTGGCTCACGTCTGAAGACGGCGTTCGACTTCATTCTTGGTTTGTTAAGCACTCTCCCCCTCTCAAAGGTGCGCCTAGGGTTTCATTTTCTGTTTCTGAAATTTTCGAGATCCTGCCCTAAATTTGATCGGAGGATCGGAATCTTTATGATAATACCTTAAGTGACCATATATTTAGGAGATTTAATAACATCAGTTTGTTTCCTATGTGTGAAGCCTCACCCTCGTCTTAATGCTGTGGCGGATGTTAGTAGTTAGACTTAGCCCTAATGGAATTAGAGTTTGGCGAGGAAAAAATTCTGCATGATCAGGACTTTTTTTTATCTGTTTCATTACCTGAAAAACTTAAACTAGATTGGGTGCTGTTGTCACTGTGATCAAGTGTCTTGCCATTTGCCTTGATGTTAGAAATGTTGGTCCGGAGTAAAGAGAGAAGGGATCTGATTCGATTGTTAAACGGCAGAGAATTCAAAAGGAGAACAATAGAAAGGAGATGGAGAAAACATCACAAATATGTACATAAGCACGTCCCGGACGAGTGCTTGTGTGCACATAAATAGTGTTAACAAAACAAAAGAAGACAGTAATCAATACATTTATTTAGTTGGCTTGGTCGATTTTTGTGTGTGATGCATCTGCGAACTGACTAAACACACCAGGGCACCTTAAAGAGACAGTTTTGGCCTATATCTGATGCTTAATTCACATTGCTATCGCTGAAGTTATCACATTTGTTCTCTGAGCAATGTGTAAAACAATTTTAAGCAACATATTTATAGCTATCACATTTGCCAACTTATATGTTTAAACTTCAACAATGAATAAAGAGAACTTTAGAAGCCCAAAACCAAGGGAATGGTTTAGTTGGCTGATAACTAAGTCCATCACACAGAGACATGTGATTTTTTTTATGCGAACAGAAAGAAGCCATCTTTCTCTTTCATGCCATTTTGTTCGTACTATTCGTATGGCCATTTCGTTAGCAGTTAAAAGTGAAAACTTATTTAGTCTGTGAATCCTCTATGCGGGTAGTTGAGTCTATTCCACAGAAGAGACATGAATTTCTTTTTATGCAAACAGAAAGACCCATCTTTCTCTTTCTCACCATTTTATTCATGCTGTTTCGTGAGGTCATTTCATTATCAGTAAAAGCTTATTGAGTCTCTGAATCCTCTCTGTGGTTAGTTTATAACATATTGGTGGTTGTTTTTGCAGGTCCAACAATACTCTTCTTCCAAGAGAATGCTGGCAGTATCCTGTATATTTTTTCTGTAATAGCCTTGCAAATAGTTTATATTGTGTTGACAACCTTTACCAATATCCTATAGATATCGCTCACCGCCTTGAATTTGTCCGTTTAATGATGCAAAGACTACAATGCAATGTGTTTATGCTTTCATACAGAGGGTAAGTTACCATATGTTCTAGGAGATTACTTTTGATATCTGGACTGCTACACAAACTTCTAGGATGTACACAACTTTTATTGTCCTTGTGGTCTCGTTAGGAATCTGATGATGCACAAATTTTACTAAAAATAGGTACGGGGAAAGTGATGGCTACCCATCTCAGCATGGGATTATAAATGATGCTCAGGTTTGCTGACACGTTCTTTGATTTTACTCAGCTTTCAATGTTATTCTTGGTTCTAGTTCTTTTATAGCTTTGGTGGCTGTTTTACCCCTGAGGCTAGGCAGCATTGGATCATTTAAGCAAAAGAGATGATATAGATACATCCAGAATAGTTGTTTTTGGTAGATCTCTTGGAGGTGCTGTCGGGTCAGTGCTTGCAAGAAACAATCCTGATAAGGTATTTCTTTATTGCCAGAGATTTCCATCCTTATACATTTATGATTGCGGTATTTTACTGTTTACTTTCAATATCTTCTATCCTGAATTATCCTTATATGAATGTATGAAAATGAAAGTTTCCAGGCTATAAAAATCAAGAATGTGTAAACAAGGTTCTACTCCATTATAGTGTATTGTGCTTGTAGCCAAATACTTATGTATGCAACATAAAATTTGTTCCGTACTGGGAATACACACAATGAATGGAAAAAAAATCCTATATAGTCCTTCTAAAGATTTTAGCCATAAAAGTGTAATTCTCTAAACATTAAATTCTTTAACTGACTGCAAGACAGTTTACTGTTAATATTTCCTCGAAGCAAAAGTTGGTTTCTGAGATCACAACAGATCAAGCGGCCCTGTTTATATTTTACTAGGTTCAGGAAGCCAACATGGCTTTTATGTGGTTCCAGGTGCTACTGATTAAATATTTTTAGAGTATGTGTACTTCTTCATTGAATTTGAGATTCTTTTCGGGTCTCAATTGTAAAATTTGTCCTGAATCTGACAGATTTCTGCTTTGATATTGGAAAATACTTTCACCTCTATACTGGATATGGCTGGAGTCATGCTTCCGTTCTTAAAGTGGTTTATAGGTGGCAGTGCGTCTGGAGGTCCCAGGCTTCTCAATTTTCTTGTGCGGTCACCATGGAGTACCATCGATGTAGTTTCAGAGGTTAGCCTTCAAATCTTACAGAATACTTAACTTTTCTAGGCAGTTACTACATTGGATTTGAGTTTAGATGCAAACCTTTGCCATGTGAGTCTGAAACGTTCCATTTACCTTCTTTTTATGTCATAAAAATGGCTCTCATATACTTGCTTGCGATAACTTACTCCTTTTGATGAGTGAAAATGCATAACTTGAATTCTTGTGGCCCATAACCATGTCGTTTAAAGTTCTCATTCATCTGTATACAAACTTATATTGATTTGGTTCTTCTGTATCATTTGTTTGTACATGTTGTACACATGTGGACATGCTCTCTCTCTCTCTCTCTCTCTCTCTCTCTGTGTGTGTGTGTAGTTGTGTCGTATTGGTCTATTTTCAAGGAGCAATAATATATCTGGTACTATTTGTTCACAGAACATGACATTTTGTGTGGTTAAACATTACGCAAGTTTTGACGACCATGCATAAAATTACTTGACATTCCTTTCACAGTTGCTTTATATTTTACATACAGATTCTTGAGATGTTGTTTTTAAAATAAAGATACATTATTTGTCTTTTCTTCTACATGAGGCGTGTCCTGAATTGTATTACACAGGTGTTTGTCATGTCTTAGTGTCCATCACAGATGAATTGTGTAAAATGGAGTTTCTTGCTAACAATGTTTTGCTAGGCCAGGTTGAGTGCGGAGATCGATTCTACTTAAGTTGAGTTACATGCCAAGTCCTATGTGTAATTGATAATGCTTCTATCCTATTTAGGTCCAATTAAGTTTCACAGCAATCCACAATTTGATGACGAGTTTTGTCCTTGGTCTGTCACTTAGTAGGATGTAATTACATTGGAAAAAAAATCAATTTGAAAACTAATTTTAGCAAATTCATGATTGGGCATAGTTCCTTGTCCCCTTTTAATCTTCTTTTTACACCTGTGCCTGCAAATTACTGTCTTCTGGTCCTTGATAATGTCATCTATCACCTATGATAATTGCATCACAAGTAGGCCTCACTGTTTACTGTTAAAGAGCAATATTATTGCTTAAAGTAACCTCTATTCGCTTTTACTACTGTTATATCGAATTTGCAGATCAAACAGCCAATTCTTTTCTTGTCTGGATTACAAGATGAATTGGTACCTCCTTTTCACATGCAAATGTTGTATGATAAAGCACGTGGACGCAATGATCGCTGTCTATTTACTGATTTTCCTACTGGGATGCATATGGACACATGGCTTTCTGGTGGGAATCGCTATTGGAGAACGATTCAGTTATTCCTGGATCAGTATGTTTCAGACACACAAGAAATCAAATTACTCAACAAAGATGATGACAATGACAAGGGTAATGATCCATTGCTCTAGAACCTTCTACCCACTTTAAGTACTCCACAATAGGAACTTGTTTGAGAAGAGTTAAGTCTCATATTAGAAATGTTAATATTTGCACTGGAAGCATGCTGTCTTTAAATTCAAGTCAGAATCTTATGAGTTAACTGGGTTGAGGCACAAGTGATTCCTTTATTCAAATTAGTTTAGGCTAGGAACCTTTATCTTTACAGAACCTACAAATTAGTAGATCTACAAATATTTGAATCATTTCAGCAGTTCTTCACTCGAGGATTTCAAAATGTTATTGAATGTGATACTGGAGTCTTGAACTTCTATTTTGTTCACCCTTCGTAATCTTAGGGACATAGAACTTCTTCCAGTAAAGTGTTTTAAGTTATAACATCTAGAAATTCAATTTATAACTGGATATTGCTTCTTCATACAAACTTCTGGTTGTGCTTACCTAAAGTTTGGAGTTGGGATCCAAATTTCAGCGGACAATTTTCATACTATAACTGTATAATTGACATGTCATTGATAGTGCACACATGACACTTTTAAGGATTTATCGACATATTAATGGTGATTTCCTTAAAAGTACATTTTTTATGAGTGTTTACATGCTAGTTGCTTTGTCCCTTTCTTGGTGTTGCGCATTGCGTCAGTAAATTCAGATGTGTGCTTTGGCAGGTCAAATTTCCTGACACTACATCGAGCTGTTGTAAATTGATTAGAGCTTCATGCGTAATGTTGCTGAAGAAAACAGAAGCAATCTTAAAGTTGCAATTTACCCTTATATTGTCATGGCTATTTGTTTGATTTTTTTTTGGGTATCCTTTTCCCCAGATTCTTCAACCAGGTGACCTGCACACCGCTTTAGAATGTGGAGGCTCCTACCCTGAAGAAAGATTAAAGTTTCAACGGAAGTTGTGGTGAGAAGATAACCAAGAGTGCATAAAGATATTTCACAGGGAAATGGGTTGAAGACACTCAAGATATGACATTGTCAGATTTTAGCTTCAGAATGTTTGTTATATTAATCTGATTGACGCTTGAAATTTATTCTTCATGGGCTTGCTCTTGTTCTATCACAAGTACAAATTTTGTGAATTATATATATTCTTTTTTTTTTGTGATTGTGCGATGCATCTTTCATCATGGTAATACTTTGTAAGTGTTTCAAGCTGACGCTAATGTTTTTGAAATGATGAGCGCTGTTACAAATCTAAATTACTGCATCTGTTTTCAAATTTTGATGGAGAATGCTTTGCGGGGGCATATATAAATCAAGCATAGAGTACATGTGAGGTATTTCAGATAACACATGTTCATATTTTTTGATAGCAAACAATAATTTAGATTCAGAATTAAATATTGCAAGTCTGCAGTGTAGCCATCGTAATTAAGAGATTCGAAGCAGGATCATTAGCTGTTCTTTTTTGGAGCATCGCCAATAGCTTTCCCAAAAATTTCTCCAAAATGAGAAAACAAAAGTTATATTCTCCAAATTATTTTTGCTTACTCCAACAACTTTCCCATTTTAAAGAATCTTGTATTTATTACAATAATAAAAATATTCTACATTTTTGATATGAACTTTAACAATAAAGATTCAGACATTAACTTTTTGTTTTTTGCCCCCTCATTTTATAGTGTTGAGTCGTTTTTTGAGTAGTTGGAGACTTGAAGAAAACTTTTTGTTTTTTGCCCCCTCATTTTATAGTGTTGAGTCGTTTTTTGAGTAGTTGGAGACTTGAAGAACGTGAAACATTTATGACAAAGCTCTCCTATAGTGTTGAGTCGTTTTTTGAGTAGTTGGAGACTTGAAGAACGTGAAACATTTATGACAAAGCTCTCCTCAAAAATTTGAAGAATACTGCAGATTTGGGAAGGACTCATCTTTTTTCTTCTCTATCCTTATTTTGGGGAATGGAATGGAGAATCTGTTGGACAAAAAAAAAACCCAAAATTCTTCAAAAACGAAAATTCCAATAAAATGGGGAAGCTGTTGGAGGATCAGAGCTTCGACAAGATTTGAGGAGCCAACTTGGGCGAATATTTTTCACATACAAATGCATAGATCCGCATAAATGTACGGACTCATTGCGTCAGCATCAGAAGAATGTTGAGAGCCCTAACCCGCAAGTGACTGCAAAGTATACTACCGCATATGAAACATATGCGGGATAAAATATCCACCGTTTAATTTCAAAATTCCTCAGTGGGATCAAATTTGTGCGGCAGCTCGCATCAGTATAAAACTTATTTTCAAGCCAATATCCATACGGATTTTATACCCCCCTTCTGTCAGATTCAGTTAAATCCAGTTTCAAGTCCGCTTTTCTCCCAATTTTATCAACGTCAAAGTATTTTACCTATATAATCAATAAATTACCCTGTTATTTCTTTTTCTCCTTTTGTGCGGCTGCGCCCTTTCCTCATAAACCCAAACCCTTTCCTTTGTCTTCAAAAATCTTAACATTTATTTTCCTTTATCTCCCTCGATTTTGTTTTCGTCTTTGGCCATGGACGGAGGTCAATATAACCCTAGGACTGTGGAGGAGGTGTTTAGGGATTACAAAGGGAGGAGGGCTGGCATGATAAGAGCGCTGACCACCGGTGATTTTACCGCTTTATTTATCTCTGTTCATCGTAAAAAGATGATTTTTAGGGTTTAGTGGGGTTTTTTTTTTGCTGATTTATTTGGTTGCTTTTGGTGCAGATGTGGAGGATTTCTACCAACAGTGCGACCCAGGTTAATTCGATAACTAGGCCTGTGGTTTTGTTAGTTTTTTTTCTGTAGATTTTGGTAGATTTTAGAAGATAATCTGCGAGCTGATGTTTTGTTGTCTAGTTTGATAGCTTAATTTTCGAGTAAGTTTGTTTAGGGTTATTCAGATATTAGTCCCTCAAATCTTCAATAATTCCATATTAGTCCCTCAGATCTATGAAATTGCTCCTTAGTCCCTCGAGCCCTAGTGTTATTGCAATTTGGTCCCTTGATGACCAAAATACCGTTATTTATTGTTTTTTGGAGGGTTGTTTGCAACTTGACACTCTAAAGCTTACATATTTTTAAACTTTGGTAGGTGTAAATTTCAGAGTATCAAATTGTCAAAAACTTTTGGGGTATTAAAGTTAAAAAGTTGTAAACTTAGGAGTATCAAAGTGCCAATAACCTTTTTTTCTGAAATGACGGGTTTTAAGAGAGAAATCATAACTAAGGGGTATTTTGGTCATCGGGGGACCAAATTGCAAGACCTCTTAGGAAATGTGGGAGTAATGAGCAATTATTGAGATTTGAGGGACCAATATGGAATTATTGAAGATTTATTAGTATTGCTTCTACTGACATAGGTTGTGATATGCTTGGGATCTTGTAGGGTTTTTAGTTATCATAACTTGGCACTCAAAGAGTTTGTAATATGCTGTCATTTTTCAATATTTTTAGCGCATGTCGGTGTTTGAGAATTAGTTATTTTGTTTATAATTATTAGACAATGTTAGTTTTGTTTGAATTGCTACCTCCAGTTGGTTTTAAATTAGTTTTCTGGATTTTTTTCTTTATTATTCTATTTGTAGCTAATTGGATAATTTTTTTGTGGGTGTATCTTTTTCATTGTAAGATCAATATCTAAAAGTGATCACTTTCATTATTTAGGATTAATCATTTGTCATGATGGTGAGATGAGGATGATATTGTCCATCTAATGAAATCGGGATGAGTAAATTGGAGGAGTGCTTCGGAAGGCTTATGTGGGCTTATGTGGTTGTAGAATACCTTTGGGACTAAAAGGATAATTATATAGGGCAACTATAAGATGAACACTGCTTTATGGATTGGAATGCCGGGTAGGGAGAAAACAACATTTGCAAATAATGAGTGTACGAAAATGAGAATGCTACAATGGTATTGTGGGTATAAACTAAAAGATAAGATAAGAAATGAATGTATCCATAGTAACTTAGAGGTTGCTCCTATTGAAGATAAAATGAGCGAGAATTGGATAGGGTGGTTTGGTCATGTACGATGGAGACCCTTTACTTAGTTCACCAGTTAGAAAAGGTGATAAATAAATATTATAGTTAATGTGGGAAAGAGCTCAAGAATAGACTTAGAGAACTTGGTTGGAAGTAATTAAAAAGGATATAGATTACCCAGAATAGAGTAGAATGGAAGAATAGAATTCCTGTAGGTTGTAGCCAACCCCGAACGTATGGGATAAAGACTTTGTTGTTGTTGTTGTTGTATTTTTTATATTACCTGCTTCATAAGCATAGTTGTGTTCTTCTTGTGATGATCATTAGGTTAAAAGGTATTTTTCTATTTTTTCTTGTGTATTGTTGGTGTTGAATGCTTATGTCAATTGTATAGCTTTTGTGATAGTAGTTGTTCATGTTGCATTTGAGACCCAGTTGTGGTTTTTAGAATTTTCCCTTAGCTTGCACTTCTTCTTAATTGGAATTGTTGCATTGTGATTATTATGAAGCACGGATACTCCCCAAGAGGCCACGAATCCGTGTCTGACACGAATCAGACACAATTCGCGCAGGATACGTGCACGACACGTGTCGGACACGGTCAATCCGTGTCCGACACGGGTCAACGGTCAAAGTTGGCCAGACGCGGTCAACAGGGAGTTGGACACGGCTCAGACACGCCTGCAGCGCCTGACGGAAGCTAAAAAAGAAGCAAAAAGAAGCGGTGGCTAGGGTTATTGGGTTATTGGGTACATACCCGATTTCCACTATAACTATTAAGCCATTTACTGTTAACTGTTAATGGTTTCTTATTTAACTATAAAGCAATGTTTTTGAATGTTTAACTGTTAATTATTTGAGATAGTAAGTCAGTAAACTGATTTTTAATTAATAATAGGTAATTATTAAAGTTTGGTTTGTGGACTATTTTGATTAATAATAGGAGAGATTTAAGGAGAGATTTGTTTAACTGTTGAAATGTAACTATTTTACAAAGTGAGATTTAAGGAGAGATTTATCTTAACTGTTAACTACTGGTTTTTATTATTATTATCACTGTTAAGTGTTAACTGTTTTTTGCAGAACTAATTACTTGTTTCTTATTAATACATATCGGTCATAATTGTTGAAAATGTGCTACTATTTGTTTTCATGTGCGAGATTGCGAGAGTGCGAGTATTGATTCTTGCTATTTGAGCTATGCGTAGTGCTACTAGTTGACTTGAAAGTTGAAACTTAAAACTTGATTCGCCATTTGTAACCTGTAAAGAAGAAAATAAAATTTAGCAATATAGTTGTTAGTGATGCAGTATACTAGTATGAAAGTTTGAATAGTTTGCAAGCTTGAATGAAAATTAACGTACAAGTTTAATACTTTAATTGACTAAATTTTTCTATCTATAATAATAATTTTAAAAAAAAATCACTGCCGTATCCCCGTATCCTATTTTTTTGGATTTTGCCGTATCCCGTATCCGTGTCCGTGTCGTATCCGTGTCCCGTATCCGTATCCGTGCATCATAGGATTATACTTACAATTGTCGTCACATGGGACTTGAATAACTGTTCTTCCTGCTTACAGTTTTGATTTCAGCTGCTGTTGGTTTGAATTTTGATGTCAATTTCTTTTATACTGAATCTGTCTTTGTTCATAATTAACTGGTTTGAATGATCTGATGAAAGTAGTTTCGAGAAAAAATAAAAAAATAAAAAATAAAAAATAAAAATAATATAACTGCTTTGTCCATGTGATTTATTTATTTCAAAACGTGCTCAGTACTTTCTTCATTTTTTCCTTTTGTAGTCTTTGGGCTTATTGGGTTTTATTGATTCTCTTATGTTTTTTATTTGCTAGATTTAGTTTAATTTCTAAAAAGAACTCTGTCGGATCTGGATTGTTTGCTATTTTAGGTGAACTCTTTCTTCAATCTATCTAGAAATCAGTTTTGTTGCCCATCCAGTTTGCGCTTGTTTTGCATGGTTTAGGTAGTTGGGATCTTGATTGTTCCCTTTTTCTTCTGTTCTCTTCTTTAAGTATTGGAATCTGGAATATTCTGTTAATTGCTAAATCCATTCCTATTTAGGCTTTTCCCGTCATCTTTTTCGTACAGTGGGATTTGTGCTTATCAGGGCCAGTTGCTTGGCTTTACCTACTATTACTTCTACTTCCTCATTACAGTCTTTTGTTAATTAGTTGATTTGATGTAGTTACAGCTTAGTTTGTCCTAATTTCAATAATTATTCTACCAAGTTCGTGGATGATTTTCTTTGGCAACTTTGCGTAATTCCATAGGTTGGATTTGCTAGATAGGTCACTACTTTCTTCTTTTCATTCTTGGAATTACATGTTATTATATTATATTGGTTGGGCTTCTGCTTTGGGGATTAGTTGCTTAGGTAGCAATCTTGGTTTCATTTTACTTGTGCTTATGGAAAGTTCAGCTGACCCTAGGCTTCTCAACTTCTTTTTAACAATCTCTGTGATAATTTGTATTACTGAACTTCCCTATTCATATTACTTTTTAAAGTTAATGCGGGTTATTGCATGCTCGTGGTTATTAAAGACCTTGTGCAACCTACCATATGGTCTTTCATATGTGTCTTTTACATGTGATGTTGATCTCTAGTTTTCTCCTCTTGCTCTTGGGTCACATTGGATTGGAACCTGTGAAGCTGATTTATATGGAGTTATGGAGTCATTTTTAAGGTTTTGTTCTATTCTTTTGTTGATGTTATTTTTTTGGGCAAGATACTTCATGTGAATATTTATTTATTTTCATGACAGGAGTTGAACTAAATCCTAAATACTTTCTTTTCTGATATTAATTTTCAGATCTTAGTTCCTATTTTGTGCTTTTACTTCTTTGGTATTGGTTGTTACTTTTCATAGGCATCGTGCTAACTTTGCTTTTAACTATCATTTGTTTGTGGGAACCGATATTGTTTCAATATTTCAAAGCATATCTCTGGTTACATTTATTACTTTTCTAATCAATTTTCTTACTTTTGCTCTTTTTTTAATTTGGGTTAATATAAGTGCCTCATTAGTAAATTGGGTTAATTTTAGAAAACCACCCCCTCAACTATTAGGGTTGTCTCAGAAAAACCCCTTCAACTTTTTTAAATACAGGGAACCCTCCTCAATTTTGAGGATGTTGTAGATAACCCCCTCAACTTTAAAAATACGACTAAACTCCCCTTAACTATGGGGTGTCTCACAAAACCCCCCATATTTTTACAACTTTTTCAAATAACTCCCCTAGTATCATTAATTCAAATTGGCAATGACAAAATACTCTTGGTTAAAAGAAAAACCCGTGTGAGTCCAAAAAACCAGCCAAGTTAAAATATTAGACTTCAATTCAATGTTTTTATGAGAAAAAAAATCTAAAAAAAAAACAAATTTTCCAAAAATTAGAAACATGAATAATTACAAAATAAAAAAGTTTAATGTTTCAAAAAAGATAGAAAAAAATTAGTTTCCCGCAGACCTAGCAATCAATATGGAGGCAAAAGAAGAAGAGGGGGATAAATAGGGAGGTATTTTTAATCAAAAAAGTTAAAAAGGAACACCATGGTTAAAATTTTAATATTTTAGGGATAGTATGGTCATTTTGATCATGTGTTCCTTTAGATTTAATTATATTAGTTTAGGGGGTTAAGTGAGAAAAGTTAGAGGGAATAAGTTGTATTTTGAAAGTTAAGGGGGTTATATACAACAACCCCAAAATTGAGGTTTTTTTTGTATAGTTAAAATGGTTGAGGGGGTTTTTCTGAGATGACCCCCATAGTTGAGTGGGGTTTTATAAAATTAAACCTAATAAATTTATTACCTTCTTTTTCTAAAATTGCACTGTACCAAGATTTCGACCATTTTTGTTTTCGGTATTGATCATGAGCTACTTATGATAGTTTCTAAATCTAATATTCTCTCTTTTATGTGTGCTTGTGTAGCATTCTTGCATGTTGTGGTGAATGTTAGAGTAAAGGGGGCTTGTGCGGGGGGGGGGGGGGGGGGGGGGGGGGGGGGGGCGGGGGCTTATTCGTCTGTTCTTAAGATGGGTGTCCACTTGATCGCTATCATCCTTTTTTTTTCTATATTTATATGTCTTAGTTGTTGTTAATATTTGGTATTTGTCTCTTGTTATTATTCATTTATCTTTTCTCTCTATATGCTTACACAGCCACACAAGTTTATTCTCAATATTATTTATCTCATATATTTTACATGTGTTGATGGTTCCCCTTCTTTCGCTTTTGGAGTGGAAATACCAGTTAGTAGTCTAATCACTCTAATCTATATGCATAAGGTTTGCTCATTTATTTAATTATGAAGATATCAATCCGTTAGTATTTAGAATCTTTCGAGTAATGTGGGAGCCACACTGGATTGCAGTGGACAACTATTAAACATTATGAACATTTTTCTGAAATATTAGATAAGCTTATCTGGGCTACATTTTTCTGAAATATTAGATAAGCTTATCTAGGCTGCATGTTTTAAAATCCCATTCCGTAGTATTGTAGACTATTTTGGTTGTTAATCTCGTTTACATGTGTGTCCTGCAGATAAGGAAAATTTGTGCCTTTATGGGTATCCTAACGAGCATTGGGAAGTTACTCTGCCTGCAGAAGAGGTTCCTCCAGAACTTCCTGAGCCTGCGTTAGGTATCAACTTTGCTAGAGATGGAATGCAGGAAAAAGATTGGTTATCTTTGGTGGCAGTACACAGTGATGCATGGCTAGTTGCTGTCTCTTTCTACTTTGGCGCTAGATTTGGGTTTGATAAAGCCGACAGGTTAGAAATTTAATCAATACAGCATTAGATATTATATGTTCTTTCATTTCCATTTTGTACTTGATTTTTGTACACTTGTGATGATAAACCTGCCTGTTGTGCTGAATAGTTTGCTTTTTTATTTTCCTGTTATGTATTTGCTGCATTTAGGGCATGGAATGTTGCAAATTTGTCTGTTATCTCATTATTTTCTACCTTATGTGATTCGATTCAATACAGCATTGTTATCTCTCTGCTGATTTTGGAGCTTGCTATTATGGATACGTAGCAGTTATGCATGCTTGCCAAAATATTATCATAGCCGCTAAGTAATTATTACTTTTATCTCTGTAATCCATAGTTTTCATAGTTCGGAATGGTAATTGTTTTATCTCTTTGTTTTCAGCATTATTAATATTTTTATTCGATAGTAGCTTCATCCAGATTGCAGTTGTACACTTTTTCTTTTGATATAAGATATGAAGTAAAGTGTGATTTTTGGCTATCATAAATTGAACTAAGGGAGAGTAAGTGTTGTAGGTTAGCGGTGTTATCATTTGGATTCTGGTTTCTGTATCCTCCATTAGCTGTGTTCATATGGATTCTGGTTTCCGTATCTTTTGATTTTATTTCATTTGTGCAACTTAAGAACATTGAAACATTCACATATTTGTTTATTGTAATCTACAAGAAGCTGATTCCTGAAAGTGACATTCAAATAATGCTATTGGTCAATTAAAGAAAAGGATTTTTGTTTATTATTTTTTATCCACAGAAAGTGTTTGTAATGGAACTACTCGACCATTTAATGGCAGCTATTAGTGAGTACGACACCAGTGCATGTATCGAATAGGACATTAATGTGGATGCATGCATAGTTCGCCTGTTTATAGTAACATTCTCCTGGTTATAGGCATTTTTCCAGGAGATCTATTACAGATATATCTGGACTGCAATTTTATTGTTTATTGTTTCCCTTATAGTCTCATTTTCTGCATTGTTTTTTCCCTCGAACTTTTATACTTCTTTTTTTGGAGTTTTGCATTCTGTGTCTAGTTGCTATGTTTCTTGATTCCTTCTGTCAATTGAGAGTGCTGTGTATGATGCAGAAAGCGCCTCTTTGGTATGATAAATGAGCTGCCTACTGTCTATGAAGTCGTGAATGGAAAGAACAAAGTGAGGACATCTGGTACCAACAACCACAGCAATAACAAATCAAAGTCAAACTCTAAAGTGGTAAAAGCGATGCTTTCAGTACTTGGATTTTTTTAGTAACACTTGCGTGCATCATTTACAACTACAGTTGATAGTTATATTTTCTGTCCTTGCATGTAAGCAGAGTTGTTACCTCATGGACGCCATAGTGATCAACTCGCATTTGGACCAGTTGTACTTGGGCTAACTTCTTTTTCTTATGTAGTGCAAATAAAATTCTCTTGCCATATGTATGAAAGCTTCCATCATCCAGTTTTCTGGACAGAAAAGAAGGCATAAATATGCCGTCTTTTCTCAACTAAGAAGCAACGTGGCCAAGTTATAGTTTTTAAGGTTCTATCAATGATATACTGAGGAGGTACCTGCAGTTCTAAATATGTTCCTTAGTAACTAGTCCTATGAAATATTTTATTAAAATGGGAGAAAAATTTTGCAGTCACAGAAAAACGTTTACGGTGTTATTAACAAATGTAGGGGTTAAATTCTTCTTGCGTTCGAGCAGCTGAGAACTGTGCTTCAGGTTTTTCTTCTTAAGTGAGGACATCTGGTACCAACAACCACAGCAATAACAAATTAAAGTCAAACTCTAAAGTGGTAACAGCGATGCTCCCAGTACTTGGATTTTTTAGTAACACTTGTGTGCATCATTTACAACTACAGTTGATAGTTATATTTTCTGTCCTTGCATGTAAGCAGAGTTGTTACCTCATGGACGCCATAGTGATCAACTCGCATTTGGCCCAATTGTACTTGGGCATTATGGGTTAGTGTTATTGCGAGTTTGACAATAGAGAGGGGGACAAAAAGAGTTGCCTTATTCATCGCATAACTTATTTTTCTTATGTACTGCAAATAAAATTCTCTTCTCGACATATGTATGAAAGCTTCCATCATCACAGAGAAAAGAAGGCATAAATATGCCATCTTTTCTCGACTAAGAAGCAACATGGCCAAGTTATGGTTTTTAAGGTTTTATCAATGATATACTGAGGAGGTACCTGTAGTTCTAAATTTGTTCCTTAATAACTAGTCCTATGAAATATTTTATTAAAATGGGAGAAATATTTTGCAGCCACAGAAAAAAGTTTATTGTGTTCTTAACAGATGTAGGGGTTAAATTCTTCTTGCATTCAAGCAGCTGAGAACTGTGCTTCAGGTTTTTCTTCTTAAGGTGCGCCAACTGGAAGAACAAGCTCATTATGACAATTAGACATTTTCTATCCCTGCAAATGTTTTGCAAGTTCTCCCTTTATTCTTCCGTCTATTTACGTTTTTATTGTTAAAAAGTTTGTCCCCAGAATCTGCTGCTGCTTCATGCCATGCCGGTTCAAGCCAAACTTAGAGGGTTTTTAATGCAACTGTTATCTGCTTTACATGATATCTACATAGTAGACATTGCAAGTTCACGTATCATTAAGTTTACTAAATTGTGAATTCATCTCTAGATGTGTTTGGAGCATTCATTGTTCATATAGGATTCATAGATATGAACCTGTGTATATTTATGTTTTGCCCATAATATCTACTTTTTTTGCTCCTATTTATCTAAATGCTATCTCCTTGTGTACACAGTGGCTGTTATTTGCTCTATAAGCTGAGAAAAGCAAGTCCTAAATTGTTGACTCATGCTTAGTGAATATGGGTGATGAAGGTTGTGAGGATAGAGAAGAGGAGCATTTTGCTGTGATATCTGTGAGAAGTGGTTTCATGGCAAATGTGTGAAGATCACCCCGGCTCGTGCTGAGCATATTAGGCAGTACAAGTGCCCTTCTTGCAGCAGCAGCAGCAGCAACAAGCGAGTTCGTGGATCCTGAGAATACACGGCCTTAGCGCTGCGGACAGGTTTGTGCTTCTAATGACTCATACTTGTAACAATGCTCAGTTTGCTGTTCTTAATAGTTGGTCAGTCACAATCTGTATTTCTACGTTGTAGTTAATGTAGCATTTAGTAATGTATCAATGGTTAGCAAAACATCTAAGGTCTATTTTTCTGCTGCTTTACGCTAGTTCCCTCAGAATCATCTTTTTCTATTCATTATCAAGAGGTTCATATTATTATCTGTTTTATATCTGCTTTTTGGGTGCTAATCTGTTGGTGGCTTTACCATAGGCTCATGTTCTGTTACTGATTCTGAAGCAATCTTTTCAGAAATGTGGTGATTGATGCATGTGATGTTTGTTTATTAACATTTTATAGGTTAGTTAAAGTTGTAGCTAAGATTCTCTTGTACCTATGACTTATTACAGATCAATATCTACTTTCCCAAACCTAGGGGATGTTGTAACATGGACCTAACTATAGCCTCTCCCCATAAAGCAGGGCCTTTGTGCATATAAATATTTCTTTTAAAAATTGCATCTTTGCCCTCCACCTCTATGTTATTATTCAAGACTAATCTTTTGTTTTTTGGCTGTTTGGCAAAGCTTGGATGGAGTTAACAAGTAACTGTGGCACAAATGAATCCTCATTTTTTAGTTTTTTTTTATGGAAGGGACCTTTCCATTAACTGTTGAATTCTAGCTTACCACTACTGGGAGTGGAGACATGACGTCTTTGTTATTTATTTAATCCTCTGGCTAGCTTTAGTTTATATTATCTGAGTAATTAATCGCTTTTAACTGTTTGGAGACTTTATGTTTAATATAAATTTTATCCGTAATTAAATACAGTTCCAAATACTTTTCGGGACGCTTGAACCAACTCAGATGTATCATGTTCTGGTTCGCTCTGCTGCCTGGATCTTTTACGTGTCGTCAGCTTCTATGTTCATCCCTTGCTTTTCCATTAAGTTGGAAAAAGTAATGAAAGTGATTGCCTTTATTTTAGAACAGAAATACCATGGAGGCACTCGAGAGATGTGCTTAATTCATAGGTATTGATTCCTTTAAAAAAAACATAGGTTAAGGGGCTGTTTCGTTTGCCCTTTATTTTTTATTATAAGAAATGGAGGGGAGTAGGAATGATATTTGTAAGAAATGCCCAAAAGATTTTCCAACAATTTTCTAACCCTACGTTTGGTCGACATTGGGTTTATAGAAGCAAGTTTCTATAATGCCGAGAAAGTTATGTATTTTACTCTCTCTTCTCCTCATAATTCTTCATAATTCTACATGTTTCTTTCTCATTTTTTTTTTCTCTTGAACCAAACACAAGAGTTCAAATAAAATATCATTTCATCTTTTTTTTTTCAGTTTCTATAAAAAAAAAATTGTTGGAAAGGTTTGGAATAGCTTTTTTAGTATCCTTCTTCCATTTCTTTTCTTCTACCAAATGAACCAAATGGTCCCCAAGTATATCAACTTTTTCCATCCAACTCAAAAAAAAAAAAATTAGAATTTAGTGTATTTGGGAGTTGATTTTTTGCATATTGTAAATGATATTAGAGTAAGTTTTTAGTGGAAGCTACAAGTTGTTTTTGTTTTTAGTTGGAAGTAGAAAAGGTAAATATCCCGATCTCATAAATAAGGTTAACATAGATGTCATTTTGATATTTGTGGTAAGCCCCCGCCCCCACCCACACACACACTCTCTCTCTCTCTCTCTCTCTTCACGGCGTTGGTATTTGTCATTTCCGTTTCCTTCGTTTTATGTTGTGCCCGGTCCAAGCTATTGACTGTAGAAACAAACAAAACGGCAGAAGAGAAAACTCTGATGCGCGCCTTCTTTTCTCCAGAAAAGGCGGAGATTTTGGAGGAATCTTCTGCATCTTCGACAGCAGGTTTTACTGTTCCTTGTGTTGATCATGTTCCTTTTGACTGAAGCCCGGATCATTCATTATCCATGTCGTTGATGCCTATCCAGTTAGCAATGACGTACTATGATCAATCAATTGAACCGAGTTAGTTCTTGCTGCTGTTCTACGATTTAGGAACGAAAGTGATTGATTGATGGCACATGCGGTGTTGCTGTATTTGGGATCATACTCGAGGCTCCCATGCTTTGGTATCTTTTTGTAGCACACCGTAGGAGTGTACAAAAATAAAATTAATGGATATACATTTGACCAATGTTTATCCGGATTCTCACTTTGAAAAGACCTTTTAATATATATATATTATATATATGATTATATATATATATTATATATAATATATATATATATATAATATATATAATATATATATTATATAGAGAGAGAGAGAGAGATTAATGGATATCCGTTGTAATATGAGAGGATTTTCTCCTGAGCCAAGTAGCCTTGTGCACAATCCCCACCATCCTTAAAGTAGGAAGAGAGCTGAATTTGTGGGGATTGTGTCTACTTTAATGAGGATGGTGGAGATTGGTGGGGCCACATAAGGCGTAAGAGAGGGAAAAATCCCCTCCTATGACAAGGATACCCATTAACTCATATAATATATATATATATATATATATATATAATATAATATATATATATAGTATAATATATATATAATATATATATATATATATATATATATAATATATTACACACATTGTCAAATACCGTGCGCATCTCATCAGTTACATAAAAAACAGTAGCTGGTTTGGTTTGGCCAAAACCAAGTTCTCGTCGAATAAGAATCTCATGTCGGTCTAACTCTTTTTCCTCATTGATAGGCACCACGCTCTCGTTTGCGAAACCCATACGGAATTAATCTAACAGAAGGCCCACGTGAAACCATTTCAGTGGGCTGCTTGATGCTAAAAAGTTCTGCAACCACCGATCGCCAACGGGGTAGAAATCCAACCGATGCCCGCGCCCACAGAAAGATACTCTTGGCCTGGTCACTAGAAGGGACACCTCACCTCCTAACCTGCCGTTAAACCCACGCTCTCTTTAAACGCGTCACGAATTGTGAACGCCACGCGTCGGTAACCTACCGGGGAGCATTGTCTATTTATATGCAAAAAGACGAACGCCCTGCACCGAAATCCTACATTTCCCCACATCCATCGCCTTATCCTCTCCGTCATCCACTAACTTTGTCTTCCGTCCTCCTTTTTATTGCCCCCAGAAAAGAAAAACTGCGCGGTGTCCCCACCGTCGTTACCTTACCCATGGTGCTCAGTACTTCACTCCAGAGAAATCCCAATCCAACCGCCTAATATGTCGCAAACCCAAGAACAGAAATCCCCGAATCCGCATCGAATCAAAAGACAAAAATCTCATGTAAAGTAACGGCGGTTAGAAAATCAAGGATTAGGGGTTAA